GAATATATGAATTAGAAACCCGACCCGAAATAATAAACAAATTATTCAATAAAAACAGTGACTTAATTGAAAAAAAAATATATATAGAGGGGTATTATTGTAATTATTCCTAAATATATAAGGTAAAATTATATATTTTTCGGGTCAGGTCAGGTATTTTTCACCCTAAACCTGACCCCGACCTAACCCGAATATCACAATTAAAAAAACTCGAACCGACCTAACCCGAACCCGAAAATTTTTAAAAAAATCCGGCCTGATCCCGAATTTTTTTTAAAAAAACCTGACCCGAATATCAAACTTAAAAAATCTGACCCAAACCCAATTTTTTTTTAAAAAAGTCCGACCCGGTCCCAAAGTTTTTTAAAAAAATTCGACCTGAATGCCAAAAGGTTAATGAGGGTAGTATGGTCAAATTTCACATTCCCTCCTCCAAAGGATTTCTTTCCATTATGTTATGGATGAAATTTACTTTCTCTCACTTGATGGAATTGGATTCCAATTTCCCATTTGAAAACTTGAACCAAATATGGAAAAGTGATGAAATTGGATTCCAATTCCTCCTTATGCCAAGGGATTCCAGCGAACCAAACGCCACCTAAGGATTTACTTTATCCTTTGTATAGGAATTTATATATCATAACTTAGATATAAGTTTCATTTACTGTGTAAATAATAACCAAATACATACATTATGAGTATATAATAAAGACTCAATAGAAAATACAGCTAAAAAAATTTGAATTTATCTAATTAAATTTATATTAGGAATTTCACAATCACCATCAATTTAACATATTTATGGATTTAATAACTAATCATGAATGTTATACTTTTAAATATTTTATTACTTAATTTATATTATCTTTAGAATTAGAAATTTAAATTACTGTCTTAATGAATTAGTCTGATTTAAACTATTTTTATCCTATTAAGTACTAAAGTTTTTATTTTTATTTTTTAATTAAAATTCAAGCAACAAGTAAATTGATTATAGTTTTTTTTCTAAACTAAAAAAATAGAAATAGTAACATATTTAATAAAACAAAAGTTAATGAATAAAAAATCAATTATTATCTCCAATTAATTGGTTAGTGAGGTAAGGTATTAAATTTTATTAGATTAAAAGTTTGAATCCTGATTTTGTAGATATCACAAATTATATTTAGGTAATTTTTCATAATGAATTTTTTTTATAAAATTCAATTATTAATTGATCAATAGATTAAATATAGATAATTAAAAACAAACATTTATTGAACCGACGTAAATGGGATGGAGATTTGGGACCACTGCCCATCACCTTCTTTACTTTCCTCGTGATCTTTATATCTCACTGTTGCATTAATTTATCTTGAATTTCCCTTTCATATCCCCAATGTGGGAAAAGTTTAAGACAATTCCGACTAAACACTTCCTGACAGAGGCAGACGTAGGATTGTATACTAAAGGTGCGACCTTTTATATTTAATAAATCTATAGTGGCACAAGTTAATATAAAATAATAATTATAATAATTAGAAAAGAAATATGAACATCAAATAACATTTTTTTCTCATTCTCGTCTTTTTCGTTTTAAAAAATAATAGTTTACGATTTGCAACAATATACTAGAGTTTTATATGTTAGAGACGAAGAACACTTACCAACCATAAAATATGAGTTATAAGATAACTCCTTAAATACTTAAGAATGAAGTAAAACAACTTCGAGGATAGATAATAATTAGAAAGCTACAAAATATTACAAAAACTATGTTTTTACTTGTCAAAAGTAGACATTTGAAATTCTGACACTCTTTCTTTAGATCAAAGTCATCAATAAGAGAATCTATTGATAAATCAGATGCAATTCTTTCTCAATATATGTTATTAAGTAGCACGATAAAAAATCATCCTCCATTTTTCTACACAAGTGAGACTTCACTATCTTCATGGCGAGAAAACTCGCTATGTGATCGCAATAAAAACAAGAAGAGTCAAAACAAGATGAACAAGTCGGTCAAGAAGAAGATAAATGATTGACTTTTGATTTTTGCTAACACTTGACAAAGTTATGAAATTGTTGATGTCTTTCTCAATTCAAGGTACCATCGAGGTTCAAGTTCAAAATGTTCTAATCAAATTTTCAAGTGCAATCTTTCGTTCTCCGTGAAGTATTTTGGGTAAAATTTAGCTGCAAGCTTGCATTTATCACTTTTCTCAGTCAATCTTACTTGCCGTGGCATTTCTCCTTGACAAGCATGAGGGAGTGGCGTTCTAAACGTCTGAGAGGAACTAGTTCGCTGGGGGCAGTTCTTGGTGGCTTAGGGAAGCATCTGGCAGTGCACGTTGAAGGGCTTTCTCTCCTCCTCTTAGTTCTATGCTTTCATATTTTGTTATTGGGTTGTAAGGAACGAATAAAACTTGCTTTGTGCTTGTTTATTTCGAACTCCACCATGAACTAATCCTATTTGGTGGGAGTTCGCTTGGATATTTAAGTTTTTATTTCAATGAATGGTTGTTTTTCTATACTTTAATATGTTTTGTTTATGAAACTTTATGCCTTAAGGTTGTAAGAGCTACGAGAGTAGCCTTTCCTTAGGAGGTTTTTAGGGTTCAAGAGAATACCTTGGGAAAATATCCTTAGTATTCGAGAGAAACTAGGGAGGAACTACATAAAAAATGGGTTCTAGGTCGTAACTAGGCCTAATCCACCTTAGAGATAAGGTTAGGATTTTATTCGACTAAAAGGAGTTGCGCAAGAATGATAGGTTAGATATTAATTATGCCGTAAAAAGATATTACCGAGACATATCCTGTTATCTGGACCAATAGGATCACTGTAGGGGTTTACGCCAATCGGTTTTGCCAGGGCATCTTTAATATGTCAAGTCCCTCACTGGAGATAGCATATGGCACCTTAGTAGACTCTCTGTCGAGCAGGATAGGCATAGAAGAAATACCATTCGGAGAAATAGACATAGATTTTCCTAGTGACTCCTATTACTCATTCCCATAGCAGCTTGTTGTGTGAGAAAGCTAAAGTCCTACATTTTAAATCCAGTATTTACATTTTATTTTGCCTTGACATTTCCATTTATTTGCACGCATCACAATTTGATTTGCCATAACATATCTGTTTACTACCTCACTACCATCATTCTATTTCCACATCAATCATTTCATTTTGCCACAACATTCCCATTTGTACATACCATCACTAACTTTACTTAGGTGACAAAGTAAAGTTCCTTGACAAACCTATTTGATTTCCTCAATTCCCTATGGAGACGATACTCAACTTTTCACTGTATTACTTGTCCGATTGTGTATACTTGCATATATAACCGCACCCATTTATAGTACTCACAAATAGCGAACACCAGCCAAACCCAAGACACTTTGAACCTCTAAAACATTCTTTGGGACTTTTCATTCCACTATTTCTTTATTCTTCTAAGGATCAACTCGAATCCCCTATGCAGATACATGTACAAGGAATGCAACCTCTGATAACCAGAATTGCACTTCGATAACTTGGTACACAACTTCTTATCTTGAAGTGTCCGAAGAATAATACGTAGATGAGCATCGTGCTCTTCCTTGGTCTTTGAATAAACCAGAATGTCATCAATAAAGAAAACCATACAATGATCCAAATATAGCTAGAATACTCGGTTCATATGATCCATAAATATCATTGGAGAATTAGTCAAACAAAAAGGCATTACCCCAAACTCGTACTGTTCATACCGAGTCTGAAATATTGTCTTTAGAATATTCTCTTTTTTAATCTTAAGATGATGATGTACCGATCGAAGATCAATTTTTCAAAATATTGTTGCACCCTTTAGTTGGTCAAATAGATCATCAATCCTTGGAAGTGGATACTTGTTCTTCACCTTCACATTGTTTAGTTAATGGTAGTCTATGCATAATCGCATAGATCCATATTTCTTCATTACAGACAACACGAGTGCTCCCCAAGGAAATACACTTACCGTAATAAATCCTCAATCAATAATTATTGTAAAGGACCTTAAACTCTCAAAGTTCGATCAGAGCCATACGATATGTGGCCATTAATATCGTCACATACCTAAAAGTACCTCAATTCTAAACTCTACCTCTCTATCAGTTAGAATATCTTCTAACTTAGTTTCTGAGGTTTGAGTATCCACCACATTGGCATGGAAAGCTTGACACTCTTCTAACAATAGTTTCTGAGCAGAAACAACTGAAATCACATTGGATAAAGGATTCATCCTTTCTTCGATCACTATTACATTTTTACCTTTTAATTCGCTGAGTATTAATCATTCTAGGCGACAATCTACTATAGTGTGATAAGGAGATAACTAGTCTATGACCAAGATTATCTTAAACTCCTCGAAAGGTAGCTCAATCTAGTTTGCAGAAAACTCGATGCCTTTAATTTTTAAAGGACAGTTTTTACTTATATGCTTAACCTTAGCACTCTGACCCAAAGGATTCATCGTAACTATATCACTCGAAATGTTTTCTAAAGAGATGTTTATTTCTCTAACCGATTTTATACTAATGTATGAGTGCATGGAGTCATGGTTAAACAAAATAAACATATGAGTATCAAATAAATAAAAAGTGCATGATATGATTTTTAGATCGTCCTAGTCCTCATTCGTCTTAATATTATATACTCTGGTTATGGTACACCCTCCAATCTCTGCAACAGCAAATTGTTTACCTCTGCCTCGGTACCTCTGAAGTGTTACTACAGATCTCTTATTCTGTACTGATTTCTCTCCCAACATTAGAGGGAAATCCCGAATATAATGTCTTGATTCACCATATCGGAAGTAGGCTCATGTGACAATTCTGCATACTCCAGTATGCTTTTGGCCGTAAAGATGTCTCCACCCACAACAACTAACTGAGTCTATCTACTTGTCCAGCACTAGCTCCCTTAATATTGGGAGCAGTGGCCGTAAATCTACTCTGAGGTCTATAACTAAAACCTTATCCTCTTTTAGACTGAACAACAATTAAAGACGTCCCCAGTTTTTTGCTGACTGAAATCTTTGCTCTGAATTTTTTTTTCATTCTGAGACTTTTCCAAAGCCTTAGCTTTGTTTATTATCTCTTGAAATGTCGAAAACTCCAATGCCAACATAAAATCTTTTAGTCTTGGCTTCATGCCCTCTATAAACTACTCGCATATGTGTTTCTCTATAGGGATCAACTCGGAGGCAAATTGACTTAGCTTGTTCAATTCACGTCGAACTCATAAGCAGTACGATTGCCTTATTTCAAATTCCAGAATTACTGCTTCATTTCCCAAATGAATTGCTTCCCAATGTACTTGTTATTAAATTCGTCAAGGAAAAATTGCCAAATGACATGCTCCAGAGGAACACGTATTGTAGTATTTGTCCACCACATCCTAGTTGGACCTCGAAGCAAAGACACTACTCCATTTAATCTCACTCAGTCTGAATAGTGTAATCCATCTAACATTACTTTTATGTCATGTGACCACAAATCCGCTATCATAGGACCTTCATCAACTTATCCTTTCATCAGTCTAAGCACATAGACATTATGTTTCTAGTTCTCAAAGGAAATTCAGAGTGATTATGTGTTTATAAAACATATTGTACAAATTAATAATTGTGCGCTTACTAAGGAACTGTAACCAAGGTCTTTCATGAGCACACTACTCATATGGGTGTAATATTATATAAGCATATTTGATTTTAGTGGAAGTTTGTAATTTTAATACTAGTTTGATATAGACACAAATTCAGTTACTTTAGGTTAAGGGCATTTATGTTAAAGTTATTTTCTATAGAAATAAAGTTTATTTTGGTTTATCCACACTCTAGCTTTGGTAAAATTTGATCTCACTAATGTTAAAAGAGGACCAATTGGAAATAGACATGTGTGGTTCACATTGCATGTAATTTTCATGTTATACTCCATGATTGATCTATGTCATTTGACTGTGTTTGTATACGTGACCACTGATGGGTCTAGTCATGATTGATATGAAAAAGGCCGCTTTGATCCTATATGGATATAATTGGTGGACAAGATTGTTATAGAATATATATTGCATGATAACAAATTTTGAGCTTATAAGGTTATACATTTATCTGGAAACATGTTACCCAAGTGGAAGATTGTTGGATTAAAATCCATAATTATGGGCACATATTTATATTGTTATAATAAAATATGACATAAATTAAGTGACCAATAATGTTTTAAAGTCATAAGGTATTGGAAATGTCATAGAAATAAAAGGGTAGATACAATTAAAATTGTATTTATAATTTGATGAGGGACAGAGTTATAAGTACAAACAATAACTAATTATGAAATCAACTATATGAAGGGTTATGGTCCCCAAGAAATAAATAATCTCGCATTTTCTCTTATCCGCGTTAGAGAGTTTATACTCGAGAGAATTCAATCTTTTGGAATATCACAACCAAAGAAAGATTCAATGAGTTCAACTGTCAATTAATTCATGTATGCTTCCGCATATAGTTTTATGGTTCACATTTGGGGAAATTTTCAAGGATGAACCTAGACATTTTAAGGTTAACAAATTTTCAACTAATTTTATTTTGTGTGCAGTTTAGTCACCAAGCTTCTAATTTCGACACCAAATTCTATGTTGTATTGAATTTAATCCTCAGTTGTTCTAATTTTTATGCAATTAGGTTCAAATTTAGCTTCATAGAAATTAAGCCCTCCAACATTAAAATTACCTTATAGTTTAACAATCCTTAAAGCTTATAACCCCCAAAATTGGAAATGAGAACTCTTCATTCCTTAGGATAATTTCGTCTTTGAAATGTATCCAGTTTCATAACTTGATCATATAATTCTCATTAGCTTTCACTTAAAACTTTTTGCAGAAATCTGGTGATCGTGGGCCCTTACTAGTGATATTTAAAATCGTTTTATTTCTTTTTATTTTCTCTACAATTACTTTTAGAATTACCATACCTTCATTGTGCACTCAGATATTCATACTTGGTCAACTTACAATGAGTTACAGATATTATGCACATATGCCTACGTTAGATAATTGTTAGATAAGTCTAACATTGAGCAAATAAAAAAACATTTTCAAGTTAGGTAATAAAAAGGAAGTAACTGAACCAAAAAAGCTACTCATTGAATATTATATATCCCACAATTTTATTGGTGATTAATAGTTTAAAAGACGGAGGTCGACTTGCCGGAACAATGCTAGTGTTTTATACTCTGTTTCCATTAAGGTCTTTCATTTATCAAAATAAGAAGGTTTCGTAAATATCAAATTTTTAATACATCCACATAAATTTAAAAGTAATGATATGAAAAGAATTAAAATAATATTCTAAGACATTCGCAATACAAAAAAATAAAATAAAAAATATAAAAATTCTTTATAATCTAGATGATGCAAGTACTATATCGACCATTTAGTCCATCTCTTCAAAATTGATTACAGATTAATGGAGTAGAGGTTAAATATTTCCTTGAGAACAATCGAAAATAAATTATTCAATAAGGATCTTTTTGAACAAAGTTGAAGCTTGTATGCTTTGGTCTAGTTTCTTTACTGCTTCAAGAGTTGGTAAGAACAAAAACAATTCCAATAGAGATTAACACGTGGCAAAGTTTGCCCAATAAGCCAAACGGGTAAAAAAATTAGTTCATTAGGTCACTCGGATTTTTATTTGGGATATACGGCAAAATGTTACTGTGTATATAAACTCGTCACGTATACGTGACAAGTTCCAAAAAAATATATAATTTTTTATTAGAATTTGTTATATCAAAATGATAAATTTTAATAAAAATCTATTTTATTGAAACTCCTCAATGCCCACGAGACGAGTTCCATGTCACAATAGAAAATGTTATAGTTTCTAAAATAAAATGTCTAGTGTCATATTGGGCTAAATAATTAGCCGGCCTATGATATTGGGTCAATTTTGCCTTAACTCTTCGCTTAAGCTGACTGAAAGGTTCATTATCTAAAAAAGTTTGGAACATTACTTCTCTATTAGGATTATCGCTTGATTTGTTACTAAAATCTCTAGCGATGAAGACTGGCTATAAATTACACAAGCCCCCACTTTCTTCCTTTATATGATGAGGCCCTAATTCTTTTACTCCATACATTTTTAATTTTCCAACTCTTCTTTCAACTTTTTCATTAATTCATTTAATTTCAAACTAAATCCAAGTATATTTTTTTCCAAATAGCGTTTTTAATTTATCAAATATTTTTAATTCTAAATTTCTTTAATCTCAATCTAATGATAAATAATACATCATCTTCATTTTTTATTTTGTTGTTCAAAATTAAGCTTCATATTATACTCACATCTAAATTTTTTTTATATATTCTTTCTTAGTCATATTAAGGCGTTTTCTTAACAAAACAATGAAAATAATATGTTCAACAAAGTTCAGTCTTCTTTTCTTCCTTTGTTTTTGTTTAGCCGACAATGGCACCAATCTTAAATTGGTTGCCAACTGCTGGTGACTATTATCTTTCTTGTTTTTGAAATTGTCTTTGTTTTTCTCTTGATTTTTTCACTTTAAGAAAGAATCTATGTCCTTGTGACACGCTTTTCTCTACTCTTGCGGCAAGGTTTTTCTCTACTCTTATGGCATGTTCCTGATGATTTTCGGTAAGTTTTTCACATATTTTTACACTTGTGTTGGTGCTTCCACAAAGATCCTCACAACATTTGTTTTCTGATTAGCTTGTCGGCGATCAAGTATTGTCAAATCCCTTTTATAAATGGTCATTTGTCGATATAATTAGAATTGTGCAGCGAAGAAGTCTACAAAATTGTTTGGTTCGCTCATACTCCTTTATCACATCGTAAAGCGTCTCGTTCAACAGAGACAAGGAGTTTATGAAGGTTACTGGATTTGTCACACCAAAATAGAGCCTAAAATTCTCTTGAAATTTTCAAGGACTAAATTGAATTTTGATTAAATTCAGGGACCAAAGTGAAAATTTAATTAAATTTAGATCCAAATTCATAAAGTAACTAAAGTTGGAGGAGGACCTATAGTGGATTTTTCCTTTTATTTTAAGGGTTATATACCTCCAAATCGAGGAAAATTAATTAATTTTTCTCTCTCCAAAATTTTACTCTTTTAGAAGGAAAACTTTGATCGCCGATTCATCGTCAACCGTTGCTCCGTTTCGACACCTCCCGCACCATAGTGATCATTGCGTCATCTCGAGTCCACCGAGTTCCTTCTTATCTCCGTTGTCTGGAGTGCTGGGGTGAGGAATATCAAGTTTCCGACGTTCAAATTTAGCTCTCTATCGTTCACCGTTGTGTACCGAGTTTAATAATTATCTCAAAACCCCTTAAAATGCACTTATGAATTTTTTAAGAATTTTTCAACCCACTAAAGGCCGCACGCTCCCCCACGCACCCCCTGCGCATGGGGAAAGTTCCGCCTGGTGGATTGCATGGAAATGGGTCAATCTGACCCAACCCGTGTCGACCAGACCTGCCTGCCTGACCCAACCTGACCCGGTCCAATGTTGACAGTTGATCGACGGTTGACCATTGACCGATTGTTGATTGTTGACTGTATACCGTTGACTTTGACTAAAAAGTTAAATTCGAAAAGTCATATTTATGTTTTTCGACGTTCTGAGTCTGATTTCGAAGTCTGTTTTGCCAAATTCTGCTATATTAGCCCCAAATAGATATGGTTAACCCAAAAATGCTAATTTTTTAACATTTTTGCTTATTTATTTGAGATTTAACAAGATCTATTTAAATAAAGGTTAATATTATTCATATTATGATCGATATAGATTTTCTAAGTCGATCTACCGTTGCCGCTGACCGTGATCAAAAAACTCAGTAGTAAGCTTCCTTATCAGACTACTCAAATTGATACATGTGTATTTCCTGTTGGGGTTACATTATTGTTTTCAACTATCTATCTGAACTGTTTGAGATTTCTAAAAATATTTATATTTTTACCACACAATACCGAATTTTAACACAACTTATATATCCGATTTACTGTATATTTCTGATAGATATGGGGATTACTGTATTTTGTATCGATAATTGAAAATTAAACATTTTCATGTTTTAATGGATTGAATTATCGTTTTCATTCGACTATATAATGTTATTATGTCATTGGGGTTTTATTGGAGGAATTATCTCAGGTGTAGTCTATGAATTATAAGACCTTACACTTTCTGCAAGCTCCTTGGCTTTGTGTTCAGTGTAAGTCCTTACTGCAGGCTCCTCGACTTTGTGCTTAGTGTAAGTCCTTACTACAGCTCATATGCTTTGTGCACAGATAAGACCTTAGTGCAGGCTCCTCTGCTTTGTGCACAGGGTAGTCCTTATTGGGTGTACACGTAGGTCTCTGGTTCTGGGGAACCTACACATTTTGGAGATCGAACAGGGGTAGTGTTCATGTTTTTAAAGCATGTTTGATAAAATTATTTTACTGAAATATTTTATCTGCATGTTTTTATACAACGTAAGGAGCACATTGAGCTTTTTAGCTCATTCCGTAAATTTTAACCTTTTTAGATAATAGTGACTAGGCTAGCAAATTTGGCATCAGGAGGACTGACTTCCCCCTAATTTATACCACTGTATATTTCTATACCTTTCTGTTATATTTTGGTGACATGTGTTTTGCTACCGTTGATATATTTGTATACCAGTATTTTGTTCATGTTTTTAAAGCATGTTTGATAAAATTATTTTACTGAAATATTTTATCTGCATGTTTTTATACAACGTAAGGAGCACATTGAGCTTTTTAGCTCATTCCGTAAATTTTAACCTTTTTAGATAATAGTGACTAGGCTAGCAAATTTGGCATCAGGAGGACTGACTTCCCCTAATTTTATACCACTGTATATTTCTATATACCTTTCTGTTATATTTTGGTGATATATGTTTTGCTACCATCTTGATATATTTGTATTACCAGTATTTTGATATGTATATGTTTCGTACAGTTTTCTGACATATGTATACATATATGTTTATCATATGAATATTTCTTATGGATTTTAACGTTTTTGTAAATATTAAAAATTTCTAAATGCGATTTGTGACCGCCTAGATTTGGGCCTATCGTCTAAGTTGGGTCTAGGGGTTACACTTGGTGGTATCAAAGCTTTCGGTTTTAAACACTCAGGCTGTGGATGAGTCCAAAAATCTGGATTTACAAGATATTTTTAAAAAAAGTGTCACATTATTTTATTAGTTTAAATATACTTGAGGTTTTGGATGCTAGTCTAACTTA